AGAAAGAGAGAGAGATGTGCCCCAAAGTACACAGTAAGAGATGGAGCCAAGTAGGTTTGGGTCTTGAGCTTATGCTTATTTTCAAAACACAAAGTTGGACCCTGGCCGGGTAGCTCAGTTGGGTAGAGCATCGTCTCGATACAACTAGGATACAGGTTTGATGCCCGGCCAGGGCACATATGAGAAGCAAACAATGGTGCATAAATAAGTAGACCAACAAACCAATGCCTGTCTGTCTGTCTGTCTGTCTCTCTCTTTCTCTCTCTCAAATCAATTAAGAAACAAAACCAAGCCAGCAAGTATGAGAATGGTTCTCCACCAGGAGTGCTTCTGTCAGGAGGCATTTTTGGTTCTCACTCTAAAAGGAGATGCCACTGGCAGCTCGTGGGGAGAGCCCGGGGATGCTGTTCAACATTGTACAATGTACAGGATTATCTGGCCCCAATTACCACCAGGAGTGCTGAGGGTGAGAAGCCCTGTTCTAGAATTTTCTCCAGCAAGGTGCATCTTATATTGAAATCTGCCTTAATAAGGAAGGAAGTTAGAGCTCACCCAGCACCTTCTGTGCCAGGCACGGTGAGTGCTGCTCAACAGGCCCCGGTGGATAACAAGGTGGAGGCTGTTGGTCCCAGGTAGCAGCTGGGGAAAGCTAAGTGACTTTCCGGGGATGTCACAGGAACAGGAGTGGCCCCCTGCTCTGACCCACGCCCAGGCCTCTCCCTGGGTGCCATGTGGCAGGGGCGAGTTCCCTGCTCTTTCCTGAACATAAAAGAGGGGAGTGACTGCTGGATCCCCATCTGACGGTCTTTGGAGATCTGCCAGCCCCGGGTCCCTGCAGTGATGCTGGTTTGCAGGAATCTGGTCCCAGGGCCCGTGCTTTGCCATCTCAGCAAACAGAGCATTTCAGAGCATGTGGCTCCACGGTGAAGATGTGACTCAGAGACTGAGGCAGGGCCTGCTGAGAGCCTCGCCTGGGGCCCCCTGCCTCCAGCCAGGGCTTTCAGGAGGGTGGGAGGGACTCGGCCCAGCCCTTGCTCTGATACTAACTGTGATATGTGGGGCCAATTACTTACTCTCTGAGCCCCAGTTTCCTTATCTGTGAAACTGGTGCACTGACCCAACAGGATGATGGATGTTAAAGTGGCTACTTATTACTGTTGTATTATTACTACTACTGTTATTATTATTATTTTATTTAAAGACTCATCTCAGAGCAGCTCTCTGAGGACATCTGGGGCACACAGGCTCCAATCTGTTATCCACACAGCAGCCAACACTATCATTTGAAATAGAAGTCAGGTTAGGACAGTACTCGGAGTAACCCATCGACGGCTTCCCACTGCCCCTGGCCTGAACAGCTACACTCACCACGGTTGCAGGGTGGGCTTCCTCCCCACTCTCTGACTTGAGCTCCCTTCTGCCCTGCTTGTCTCCCACCAGCCACATGCCTCCCCGCTCGTCCTAGAACCTCACCCACGCCCCTGTCCCTCGTCACAGGTGCTTGTGGAGCTCCTAAAACACAGCCAGTCTGAGCCAAGATGTGTGCTAAGTGTAACCTGTACACCGATTCCAAGGATGTCCTATAAAAAAGAAATTTAAAGTACCCATGCACACACCTCGTATAATGATAACATGCAAAAATGGTCGTTTTGGATATAGGACTGAACACAGTATCTTATTAAAAGGAATTTTGCCTGCCTCTTTTTTACTTTTTGAATGTGGCTACCTACCAGAACATCTAGAATTCTGCATGTGACTTGAATTATATTTCTAGTGGGCAGCCTGTCATAGACTGTGCTAGGTGGGTTCTGGGCTCAGCTCTTCCCTCTGCCTGGGAGGGTCCCCTTGGTGTCTGAGGCTGTGCCTGACTTGGTGTAGATCTTTGTTCAAGCGTCACCTGCACCAGGAGGCCTTTTCCTTACAACCTCAGTTAAAGTGCGCCCCCTACTGTTCTGTCCTGTCTCTCTTCATCTCCTTATGTTGGTCCCCTCTACCCATGGGACTTACAATGACCTGGCTTTATATTTATATAACTTGTGGCCATGCCTAACTCCCTCTCTAAGAGCATAAGCTCTGTGGGGGGGGGGGGCTCCCAACATCTGGGTCACAGCTGGGCACAGAGCAGGACCTCACAGATGCTAGAAATACAGGAATGAACAAAACAGATAAAAATCTTTAAGAAAGAAAAAAGCCACACTCTTTTGTCCCTTCCCTGTCCTGAGTGGTGATGAGAGCTGGGAGGCTTCCTGATCCAGGACCTTTATTTTCAATCACTGCGACTACATCTGTGAAGACCTTGTTTCTAAACGAGGTCACATTCTGAGGTTCCAGGTAGACATGAACCTTGGGGGGACACTATTCACAGCCCACCGTAGCTTAGAGCACAAACACTGCCATCCCATTGACTTCAGGGCCCTCTGCCCGGTGTGGCCTCCTGGAGCCTCACCTCCCTCCCCTGTAAACGGGGAACATGCCGCTCTGCCGAGAGGGGATCCTGTGAGGGACAAGGGACAGAGCTTGGGCGGAGTACCCAGCACAGAACCTGAAGTGCCGGCCAGATCCAAAGCTGCTCACCCGGTCCCACTGCCATCATTACCGCGACCTCTACTGCTGCTCTGAGGGCCTGTGCGGGGCAGCGAGGGTCGGGTCGGCGCCCGGCCTGGAAGCTCACCTGCCTCAGGCGTCTGGGCAGTCACGGAGCTGGCCGCTAAGTCTGGGAGCTCCCACAGACAGGAAAGTGGTCTGGGCTGGACTGGCTGCTTAGGAACCACCCAGCAAATGTGTTAAAACGCCATTGCTGTTGCCTCCGCAGCAGCCTGGGTGGGACACAGTGGCATGGGGGGTGTGTGACCACAGAAGGGGGCTTCTGAAGTGCAGCCACCCGGCTGGAATCAGAACTCCTAGTCTGGCCCAGCCTCTCATTTCACTGATGGGGACACTGAGACCCAGAATGGGACAAGGACTTGCCGCAGATCTTGACATACTTGCCATGAGGCTCCAAGACCATCCATAGGCCATCTCTCTCGAGCCCCACAACCTTCCTGGGGGTTACCTGGGGCAGTGGGGTGGGGTGACCCCTTGTTCAGGCTGGGAATTAGGGCTCAGAGACGTGACTAATGAAGGTCATGTGGTCAGCTGAAGATCAATTCACCCAAAGCCAAAGATGACAAATGCATTCAGAGGGAAACTCATGACTCAGAGACGCCCAACCTGTGGATGTGCAAGGTCCCCTGGCTCCCGGAGCCTTTGCTCCCAAGACTCTGTTCCCTAAACACAGGAATCAAATAAAGTAAGATAAATGTGTTGACATATCCTTGCCATCCCAACCCTGTTGCTGGTTATGTGAATCTCTGGAACCAGGTGAATTTGGAGAGGGAGGACGACGCTAGTCTATTGTGGATGTGAACACACTTTATGCCACTCAGCTATGCCTCCCGACCCCCAGCAGCCTCTGCTAAGACCACAGGGAACCCAGACAGAACTAAAAGAGGAAAATTCTTCAAAATCCTTCACTTCTGCAGATAAAACGGACAACACAGAAACTTATAAAAGCCGTTACAACCATTCTTTTCTGAACAAAATTCTGTACATTCTTGATAGATAGCCAAAAGAAAGAAGACAAATTCAGCAAATTGTTTTTCTCTATGATCTGTTTCAGCAATCTGACCATTCAGTGTTGTTGACTTTGGATGAATTAACTTGCAGTAAATTGTTTTGCTTTCTGCACAGCCAATAGGTGAAGGGATGGACTGGGGGAAGTTAGCGTCATATGTTGAGACTGTCAAAATAATGAGGGTCTCTTGACATTTCCCTCTAGCCTGCCTTCCCATTGTAATTTGTCTGATTATCAAACACCCCTCAAATTATCCCAGCTGGAGTGTGCCATATGTTCCCACTGGGAACCCTGACCCCAACTGTTACTTAAGATGGCTCCCCTGAGGACAGAGACTGTGTGGGGTGTATGTGTGCATGTGTGTGTGTGTGTGCACCATTGTATCCCTAGGCCTAGAAGGATGCCTGATCCATGTAATTATATGGATACCTGCACTCAATAGTTATTTGTGAGGTGAGTGAATAAATGAATGCATGACATATATTCCTCTCTAAAATGAGAGTCCATAATTGTCACCCCTTTGCCTACTCTATGGTTATAACTTCTGGGGAGACTGTAAAATAGCCACAGTTCTTTGCAGCCCCTCCCATAAGAAGTAAAGTCTCTTTCTCCACCCCCTTCAGTCTGGGCTGGACTTGTGATTTGTTTTGGCCAAAAGAATGAAGCAAAAGTGGCCTTGAGTTTCAGGCCTGAGCTTCAGGAGGTTTTGCACACTTCTTCTCTTGCAGCTTTGTCACCATCATGTAAACAAGCCCAGGCTAGCCTGATGAGTGGTGGAAAATATGTGGCTAGGTCACCCCGCTCGATGACATATCAGTGGTTGAGGCCACCTTGGCCTAGCTGGCACCCAGCCAAATGCAGACATGAGTTGAGATCAGCAGAGCCCACAACACTACCATGTTGATCCATAGACTTGGGAGCAATAATATATGGTCATTGTTTAATCCGCTAGGTTTGGGGGTTATTTGTTACACAGTGATAGCTAACTAATACAAAAGCCTTAACTATCTCCTTGAATTCACACTTGCTAAACCTCTCCCATCTTCCATGTTTTACCTCCAATTTACTCCCTACACTATGGACTTTTTAAACACCGGTCTGATGTCACGTTCCAGCCTAAAATTCTTTAGAGGTGGCTGACTTCCATGAGGACAAAGTCCAGTTATTTCAGCCTGCAAGGCCATGGTTATCTGGAATTGCTTTCCCTGCATCTTTGATACCATTGTAATTAGCTAGTTATTAATAAGAGGAAGAAGACAGAGGGGATGGTCAGGCATTATAGGCATGTCATTTGGGCCGCTTCACCAAACTCGTGTGTCTGGCTCATGGCTCCCACAGCTGTGAATTGTTGCTGGGTTGTTGTATGTTATCACTAATGTGTCTTTGGGCAGCATATTGCCCACCATCTGTGGGATGGAAATGAAGGCAGTCACTGAACTCAAATGGCTGGGAACTCTCTCTTCCCCCTCCATTCCCAATCAGGAATGGGCCCCCTCCCCGAGCCCCCGACTTCCAGTGAAAAGCCCCACCGTGGTGGTGCTGTGAGGCCCTGGGCCACCTGGTGGAGGGGGAGGGGAGTGCCTCACCTGGGCCGCTGCAGAAGGACGCAATGATGGCCAGGATGCAGACGATGCTCAGGTAAGGGATCCAGGGGGCCTGGTCCTGTGCAAGAGCAGCAAGGGGCAGATGAGGAGTCAGGGGAGGTGAGGACCTGGGTTCCCACCCCAGCTCCTCCTTCATCCACCTACGTGCCTCAGACAGGTTGCTTTACACCTCTGAGCCCCAGTTTCAGCGTCTGGAAAATGGTGATAATGACAACCCCTATGCCATTCCAGCTGCCTATTTTATAGACACCAGGAGCAGCCAGGTTGACTGGCTTGCGAAAAGTTTTGTGGCAAGAAAGTGGGACAGCCGGGATTCCCACCCAGGCAGTCTGACCCTAGAGCCCCTGCTGCTACCACCAGCCAATGATGTGACAACTGTGCAAGTGCCTCCTTCAGAGCCGGACGTCTTAGGACTCATCTGGTGCAATCTCTTCTATTCCATAGATGGGTAAACAGAGGCTCAGTGAAGGGATTCATCTCACCCAAGATCACACAGCTCATCAGGTCTTTCGTCTCCCAGGCCAGGGACCAATCACAAAACCCTCCTCCTCAGCAGCTTCACACCCCCGGGGAAGCCACATTGCAAGAGGTGTCTGCAGACAGTGCCACCTTCCCAGGCCAAAGGCCCTGGCACTGAAGCCGGAAGCCAGCTCCAAGCTGACTTCCTCAGGGGGCGACAGGCATGTGCTCTCACCTGCAGTGTCAGCGTGACGGTGAGGATCCCAAAGAAGAGGGTCATCAGCCCAAAGCCGCCAATGAGGAGGGGTCTCCGCCCCAGGCGCTCGATGACCAAGCCCTAGGTCAGGGTCAGAGAGAGCCCATTACCACTCTCCTTCCAGCAGCAAGGAAGGGGGGCGCGGGGCTGGGAACCTGCACGGGGTCGTGGTTAAAGGATGGCTTTGACCTGGGACAGGCCGGTGACTTTCTCCACAGCCACACCTGACAGGCAACAACCTTTATGGGAGAGGAGGAAAGAAGAAAGCCACAGTTCTTGAGCACCTGCCATGTGCTCACGCAGTCACCTTTCCTCTGAGTCTCCCTAGTTAGGGGCATGGGCTTATCTGCTGGGAAGTCTGGAAGAGGGGCTGAAAGGAGGGGTTGTCGTAGCCCTCACCCCCTTTGGAGTCATGCTCTCTCTACTCCTCTATCGCCCATGGTGTAGATTTTAGAGGGATGACTCCCAAGGCGGGGGCCCAGGGGCAGGCGTGGGCAGAGAAGGTCCTGCAGTTTTCTGCTCTGCCTGGGCCTCAGTTTCACTCTGGGGTGATCCCAGCAAGTCCAGGTGACTGCAGCCCTGGAAACCCTGCCCCAGCCCACTTCTTGCGGCTGTGAGACTGTCACTGATCTCCATTCGCAGCCCCTGTATCTGCCTTTCTGTTGGGCCAGGGCAGGGCTCTTCACTGAGCTCCTTCAAATGCCCATGACCCTGAAGAACAGTGATTGTAGCCAAGTTTCAGAGACAGGCCGCCCTGGGTCTTATATCCTGGGTCTCCCACTTTCCAGATGGGTGACCTCTGGCATGGGACTTCCCTTCCCAGAGCCCCGGGCCCCTGCCTGTACAAGGAGGGCTGAACACCCGCCAGCAAGGCTGTCTGGAGGGCACGTGTGTGTTAAATGAGAGACTGTGTTCAACACACACTCTAGACTACGTCAGGTGCCAACACAGGCCCTGTAGTTTCCCATCATTTTCTTTCCAGACTGTGCTGTTCTGCTGATCAATGTAAAAAATTAACAGTAACGACTGGGGCAGGGGGTGGTGGTGGCTGTATTTGTAACCCAAGACAAGAATTTTATAAAACTTCCAGACTGTGGAATATTGAAGGACTTCCCCTCTAATAAAAAGACTGTGAATGTTTGGAGAAGGAGACCAAACGCCAGTCTCAACACTTTCATGGAACCCGTTTTTAAAAGCATCTTGTTAAAATGCCTCGTTAAGAGCAAGGAGCAAAATTAAGTGTCCTGTTGAGACGGAGCCAGAAGTGCGGCTGGAAGCCCCCCGTTCGCAGGGGCGTCGCTCTTGCCTGCACGAACCAGGGGGCCAGAGTGCAGAGGAACCAATGGCTCTGTCAAGAACCATGAAGTGACATCAAGAACAACGTCACTGTGACTCGAACCCTCTGCCCTTCCCTTTGGAGAGGAGCCCCATGGGGCACCGCGAGTGCTTTGCCCAGCATCGCAGGGCCAGGAAGGTGCAGAGCCGCAGGCCAATCAGTGCAGCCTCACTGCGAGACCCGGGCAGTTTCTGCTGGATTCTGCCCCCCCCACATGTTTATTTTGCACATTGGGGGTTAATAATGTCTTGGAGGCTGTGGCTCATTATTAAAGCCACCCTCTGTGTTACACGACCGGCTGGAGTGTCCTTTCTCTTTCCCTTTGCCTTGCAGCCACCTGCCTCTCTGGGCTGGGAAGATGGGAGCTTGTGGCCTAGACATTGCTGAGGTCATAGTCACAGGCCTTAGGCTCACAGGGACGCTGGCCTGGATTCCCAGGGGATATGTCCCTCTTCAGAGGGGGCGCAGCAGCTCTGTCATTCGTGAAGAGGTGAGAGTTCAAAGGAGGAAGTTTTTAGTTGTTTAAAGGAAGGCAATAGGGGAACAAAATAGAGAAGAAGATTCTCTAGCCCAGCCGGTGCGGCTCAGTGGTTGAGCGTCGACCCATGAACCAGGAGGTCACAGTTCATTCCTGGTCAGGGCACATGCCTGGGTTGTGGGCTCGATCCCCAGGAGGGGGCGTGAGGGAGGCAGCCGGTCGGCGCTTCTCTCTCATCATTTCTATCTTCCTATCCCTCTCCCTGCCTCTCTCTCGAAAAAAAAAAAATAGATAAAAAAACATTTTTTTTAAAAAAAGACTATTCTCTAGATGGGTGAAACGTCAGTGATGAACTACATGATAAGCTCCTAAGATTCAGACACCTTTGGAGTGACAAAGAACACGCTCTGTTAGTGGAGAGCTGGGGTCCCTGCAGCCCTGCTCAATCTCCTGCGTTGTTCTCGGGAATAGCCCTCAGTTTGCTTACGGAGAAGATGGAAGCCAAAGTCTCAATGCCGCCGGTGCTCAGGGTGATGTAGGGGATCTTTTCCGGAGGGATCCCAGCTTTTCCAAAGATACTGTTGGTGTAGAACCAAATCTACAATGCAGGGAAGAAAGGGGAGGGAGTTGGGTCAGTGAGGGGCATCTGTTTCCCGAATTAAAATCAGGCACGTGGTGGTCTCCCAGATTCGCATCTAAATCCAGAGTCACAAGGTGGAGGTACATGGCGTGGCCGGCCACTTGTCTGCTCCCTTCTCCCACATTTCCCCTCCTTCATTACTAACAGAACTCCTGCGTTACCAGGAGTGATATGCCCTCAGCAAAGTGTGGCAATGCCCTATAAACAGAAATGTTAGTGGCACTAAGGAAGTCTCATCAAGGAGGTGTGATCCCATTTTATGCCCTTCCTCCTTTCTGCTGTCGGGATGATGAGTGTGACAGCTGGAGCTCCAGCAGCCCTCTTGGATCATGAGGTGACCTCAGGACAGTGCTGCTGCTAGCCCCTGTGGAAACTTTGTGGGGATTAGAAAGGTCCCTGTTCCACACGACACTTGACTGCCATCCACTGGAAAACTGTCGTAATAAATCTACAACAGGTACAATGTGAATGACACTCCTGAGAGTTGTGCAGAGTTCAACCCGAATAACTAGAGCTTTGGCCCTGGGATGGAGCCACCTGTTCAGACACTGGAGTAAGGAAGCTAAAAGGAGGCTGTGTCCTTACTGACTAGGGTGATTCTATAATTTACTAGTCAAACCTGAACACATTTGAGAGTGTTAATAATCATTCCGGGACTGCAGGCATCAATCAGAACTCTCCTGGGCCAACCAATATGTGTGGTCTTGGGGCTGCTGCGCCAGCCCCCCCGACGTCCTTCATGGGAGGCAGAAAACCTACATTATTTAGATCATGTGAGGCCAAACCTGACCTTAACAAGACACTCACAGGACATGAGAAATCACTGATTCCAAGTTTGGAGACCTGGCTTCTGGGTCCGATAAGAAGAGCTTACCTGCCTGCCCTACTCTTTACCCCAATCCATTGGTTCCATTGCTGAGGGTCTCTGGGGGCCTTTCACCCCCAGACAGCAGCCTTGTCCTCATACAAAGGCAGTTCTGACACCTGTGTTACTCCTAGCCTGGCAGGAGTTTAACAAATAAAACAAAAAAACAAACCCAAATAACCCAACTGAAAATAGGCAAAGGACTTGAATAGACATTTTTTCCAAAAAAGACATGCAAGTGGCCAACACATATATGAAAAGATGCTCAACATCACTAATCATCAAGAAAATACAAATCAGAACCTCAAGATAGTACCTCACACCTGGGAGGATGGCAATTACTTTTAAAAAACAAATAACAAACGTTGGTGAGGGTGGGGGGAAATTGAAACCCTTGCATCGTGTTGGTAGGAATGGAAACTGGTGCAACCACTACGAAAAACGGTACAAAGGACCCTAAAAAAATTAAAACTAGAGCTACCGTATGACCCAGCAATCCCACTTCTGGGTATTTATCCAAAAGAGTTCAAAGCAGGCTCTCAAAGAGATATTAGGACTCTCCTGTTCAATAAAACATCATTCACGGTAGCCAAGATGTGGAAATAACCTAAATGCTCATCAGGGGGTGAATGGGTAAAAAATGCAGTCCCCGCACACAATGGGAAATCATGGGCCTCAAAACGGCAAGAAATGCTGCCACATGTGACAACATGGATGAACCTGCAGGACGTCACCCTAAGTGAAACAACCAGCCGCAGAAGGACAGACACTGCCTGATCCCACTTATATGAAGTACACAAAATATGTACGTGTGTATATGAAGCCTACGAGACTCGCGGAAGGGAGGTCGTTGGGGGCAGAGGGCAACGGGAGCTTCTGTTCCATGGGTAGTTTCCGTAGCAGAATATGAATAAGTTCTCCCAGCCTCTGCACAGCACTGTGCCTGTGGTTGACGACACTGTACTGTACACGCGGACATTTTCCAAGAGGGCAGCTCTCACAATAAAAGAACCCGGGAAAGGCGAGCAACACGAAGGGCGCCCAGTTTGAAGCGGGGCCTCACCCCTGCTGACTCGGGGAGCAGACAAGATGCTTTCCCCACCATAGGCTCATGCCTCGGGGCCTACAGACACACCCTAGGGGAATTTATAGTTATAAAGGGTATGCAAATCAGAAATTACACCCCAGCGGAGGAGAGAATTCCGCTTAGAAATGTCATGGTTCTCAACCAAAATGTCTCATTAAATACGGATTCCGTATGTGGCTGTTAGGCCTCCAAATCTGAGCTTCAAGAAACAGATACATTCTCTCTCTGCTGTCTCAGGACAGGGGTTGGGGGGGGGGGCT